TTTGTATTAATAGTTTATTATTATTTTACTTCATAGACGAGATATTAACTTAAAATATTTTTTTAAGAAAAATTCTATAACGTTCGTCGAACATAGATGAACAACATTAAATTAATTTATAAAATATTAAATTATAAAGTATTAAAGTATAATTATAAATTAGTTAAAAATCTAAGTGTAATTTTTCACCATAAACCCGTACACGACCCGACCGAACACAACCTCTAAAAAACCCAACCCGACTGAGTCAGATTGAGTTGAAAACCATCGGATTCGGGTCCTATGCCCATCACTACATGTAACCATCATATTGAGGATTAAATTTATTAAATTAAATAAAGGTTAGGACTAAATTAATAGAATGTGTAAGTAATGAGAACTAAATGTAAATTATACAAATTTTATTAACTGCTACATCATCTCATCCTTTAATATTTAACGATATGTAGCTTGATTGACAATATTTAAATAATTAGGTGACCCGATTGACAAAATTTAAAAATCGGTGGTTAAAGTAAAAAGGGTAAATAGTTAGATGGTTAATAGTATAATTTACTCTAAAAAACAATGTTTATAAATTTTGTATTTTAATTAAATTACATTTATATTTTTAACTAATTAATAATTATATGTTTAGTAATTTATAATTTAACGTTTTATAAATTAATTTAATGATGATCAGTGTTCATATGTGCTCATCAAACGTGACAACATCATCATTTAAAATTTTATAATCTTAAATATAATCAATCGTAACAAACTTTAGAATGTATAATTATTTTACGGGGTCATAACTATCCCTTAGACTATTCCAAATGATAAAAAGGATTGTTTTTTTTTGTCTGTTTTCCTTTTTTTTCATACATATTATTTATCATACCATGTAATAAAAAGATATTGATTTCTTCGTACATATTTAACATACCATATAATAAAAGGATATTTGGTCACTAGAAAAAGAAGACACTCGTAACGAGATGAATCGAAAGGATTAGTCGAATACAACATACTTTTAACAAGATAAACAACCTCAAATCAAGAGATTATTTCATATATAGATCACAATAATAAACAAACTTTTAAGCGCTCGTGAAAATTGTTCCACATGATCTTCCTTCAATTAATACCTTCATGCATTTTAAACATCATCATTACATTAATTTAGAAGCATACATTTATTCATGTATATTGTCATTTTCATGAGGATGTCTAGTTATTATCAAGTGTAATACGAGATTCAATGAAAGTGATTCCAAAATATAGAGAAAATCAACAAGTAATCATCCTCGTAATATACTATGCAGGACTAGAATCGTGGAGGAAAAGATGCACAGATTAGAACAACCTCGAAAAGATACACAAGAATAATTTACCAAAGAGGTGATAGATATGAAATAACAAATGTTGAAACTTTATCGTACTTTTTTTTAAGACCGGCATGTTGACAATGATAGTATATTCATCGGTATTTGATTTATTAATCGTTTAATTTAAATTGGGTACTAGAGATACGAGGAGGACTCTCCTTATTCAATTTGTTCCATTCGTAAATATGAGTATTCAAATTCTTGATCTTTCTTAAGGGATTTAATGTCTCTATCTCATTAGATCAATTGATTGTCGATAATATTTATCTATTTTCTTTTGCAGCGGTGTTTGACTATGAAATTAAACTTGAACCATTAGTTGTTGATCATTTTACTGAAATGAAAAAAATGGAAAATAGACATTTTCAACATATATATAGAATAATCTAAATTTGATGTGCTTAATATTATTATTCTCCTTTCAAGTCCCAGCTCATTTGTCTAGCAACATGCACCCATGTCTAAAAAATGGAAAATTCAACACAACTTTACATTCATCTCAATCTCACTAAAATCCCCATTTTTACGCATCCATTCATCTCTCTCAATACACACTTCATTATTTGGAAGAGGGGATTCTCAAAAAAACACTTTGTTTTTCGTTTTCGCCATTGTTTCTTTGTTCTTAGTTCTTTTCCCGTTTCCAGCATGCAGCAAATACAGTCAAAGCTATCAACAAACTTAAAGATGGTTGGCGCTGTTGATCAAGAACAAGACAGTTTGAAGCTTGGTAGGTTCTTTAATTTCCGGGGTAAGGGGCAGAAGACGAGGAGACGTGCGAAGAGTATGAGCGTCGACAAAGGACGTGGCGGGTTAGAGGAGGAGGCCGAGGATGAAGGTGAAAACCAGGGATCGGATCACGCGGGTGATCCGGCGTCGTCGGATCAAGATGACGCCGAGGCGAGGCAGGCCATGGAGAACATGATTGCCGCCTGCGAAGCCAGAGAAAACAGCTGTTAACAGGTGAGTTTCATTCATGCACGCTTTCTTATTTAGACTAGGTTTCATTGCCTGCACTGTGTTTGTTAATTTGTTTTGTATTCAGATATGGAGCAGATGAAGGAAAAGTTTGCCAAATTACTCCTGGGAGAGGATATGTCAGGTGGAGGAAAGGGTGTTTCATCAGCTTTGGCACTGTCGAATGCCATTACAAACCTTGCTGGTATTGCTTGTTTTTCCTGCTAATATAACAATAGATTTTTGATCTAATCTGTAGAAAATTTCTCACCAACGTTTTATCAATGTCTTCTGCGATTCGCTAGCTTCGGTGTTCAGCGAACAATAGCGTCTCGAGCCGATGACGGCCGAAAGGAGATCGAGGTGGAGAAAAGAGATAGATTGGCTCTTGTCTGTAGGTAATTGCATTGTTGAATTTGTTCCCTCTCAACAGAAAAACAAGGATGGATCGAACATGGAGGTATCTAGTCTCTGCTACTCTTTTGTCTCTCTGCATCAGAGCAAATTGAACGCCTATATATCTATATCTATATCTTGTTTGATTTTCAGATAATGATCACAAAGCAACGAGCAGATCTTCTAATGAACATTCCTGCCCTTCGGACACTTGATTCAATGCTTCTTGTAAGTGTTATTTCTGTATTGATCTTAGATTATCTTCAAGTACATCATGTAATAATCTAATTGAATTTACAATGTTCAGGATTGTCTGGATTCTTTCAAGGACCAAAATGAGTTCCATTATCTGTCGAAAGATGCCTCAAGTGAAGAGAAAGGGAACAGCAGAAGAATGGAAGATAAATGGTGGCTGCCTACCGTTAAAGTCCCTGAAAGAGGTTTATCCGAGAGCCAGAAGGAATCCGTTACGCAAGTGCTTAAAGCGGCGATGTCGATCAACGCTCAAGTTCTGTCGGAGATGGAGATCCCCGAAAACTACATCAACTCTCTCCCAAAGGTAAAACAAAAGATGAACAACCGAAAAGTTGCATGATTTTCCATGAAATCTACTGTCATGAATGATCCATTGATGATTTATTTATTTATTTTTAGAATGGGAGAGCTACTCTTGGCGATTCAATCTATAGGAGTATCACAGTAGAGTTCTTTGACCCTAATCAATTCCTGTCAACTATGGACTTATCATCAGAACTCAAGATATTAGACCTCAAGAACAGGATAGAGGCATCTGTTGTGATATGGAAAAGGAAGATGGTCCAGAAGGACGGAAAATCGGCTTGGGGCTCCGGCGTTAGTTACGAAAAGAGAGAACTGTTCGAAGAGAGAGCCGAGACGATTTTACGCATTATCAAACACCAGTACCCCGGAATACCTCAATCTGCACTCGACATCTGCAAAATCCAATATAACAGGGTAATTACACCACCTACGCATATATATATATATATAACCTATGCATTTTTTGACTTGTTTAAGGTTAGTATCTTGTTGGTATGACAGGATGTAGGACAAGCTCTCCTAGAGAGCTATTCAAGGATACTGGAAAGCTTGGCCTTTACCGTCTTGTACAGAGTAGATGTCCTCTATGCCAATTCTATTGTTCGAAATCCGAATCAACCAACATCCAAGAGCCTGCCTAACTCGGCGAATCCGGTCTCCGAAACCGACGGGGAGAAAGGGAACTTGATGACACTCTCGGACTTACTTACATGGAGTGCGGAACAGCTCGAGATCGACGAGGAAACTGAGGAATGCAAGGAAGCGATATCCAAAGAGATTGATGAAAACCAGATGAAAAAACTGAACGCAGTGAGTACCAAGAAGACATATCTTGAGAGCTTGGACGAGGTGAAAAGCCCACAAGAACGCCATTAAATGGAAGCATAGTGATAGAGAGACTGAAAAGAGTTTGAAAGATGAAGATATTCAACATATAGACACTTTTTGTAGGCTGCCTGCTACATTCTGTATTTTTCCCATGGCTTCCTTTTGTAAATAGGAAGAGATAAAAAACTAAAACAATGGAGCTTTAAAGCCTTCCATATATTTCTGTCATATAAGAACAAAGAACCGAGTTTGTAGTTTGATAGCCATTGAATATGATTTGTATCTTTAGAATTCATGTTTTCTTTACATGTAACACGATTGTTTTACAGATTTTATTTTAAATCTTAAATAAAAAGAATTACTTTTAACTTTTTTTTATTTGAATTAATAACTTGTATCTGATTTATTGATCGACTAATCCATATCGTATACTGGAGAGGCGAGAGCGACCCCCTCAACACAGTTTGCTTCATTCACAAAAACCAAGATTCGAACCCCTTACGGAACTTATCACCTCATCCCGCTAAACCAAACTTAAGAAATTTATCACCTCATCCCACTAAACCAACTTAACAAACTTATTGTTGATAATTACTTTTAACTTTAATACATCCAACATTCGAGAAAGATACGAGAAAGATATTTAAGAAAATCAAATATTATTTTCTCTCAACTACAAATTAACTAATGAGTAATGGAATTTTTAAAGATATATATTAAATTTCAATTAGTTCTAACTTCTAACTTCTAACTCGTACAAATATCTACAAAATTAACTTCTTGTAAATTTTGAGGAGAGATGAGAGCCATAGATCATACTGATAAAAAAGACGCTGCTACACTCGATTTCGCCTCCTTTGATTTTGAGGTCCAGTTTCATTACCATGATTTTCTATTTTCGCTGCCTGACCACAAATTATATTATATTGTTCTTACTACAAAAAAGTGTCCTCTCGCTCTCAGTTTCTCTGTTAGCTGCAACTGAGGTAGAAACCTTGAACTCCGTTCTCATCGTATTACCTTTGTTGTTTTTCATGGTAAATCCGAACCCTTTTGGACTCCAACCCAAATAACCCGAATTGCTTCTTTTTTTGTCCCTTTTGGCAGGTATTTTCATGGCTTCCCTTACTGCAAGTCTGCTCCCGCCATTGCTTTTACAAGATACAAAGACCCTTTTCAGGACTTGTCGGAAACCCTTAGTTTCTTATACTGGAGGTGTGTTATTCACTTCATTTATCCTTAAGAAACTGCCTTTTAAGATTTTACAGTAAATTGAATATTATGGCTCAATTTTCACTTTGGGTGGTCGTTGGTTAGTTCATAGTTGAGTTTGAGTCTATATTTTAATAAAAATTTTGAACTTCTTTATGGTAGTTATAGATTTTTATGAGGTAGATGATGCTCTTAGCTATAGAACTTTCACGCACCCACACCCTGCATGCCTATCAAAGCCTCCGAAAGAATACTTCCATTAATCGAGATCTCCCGAGCTTCATATCCCGTCAATTACAATCCTACAGGATTACTGACAGGCCTATGAAATCTACTAGGACCAAATCTATTGACGACCGTATTTAATTGTCTGATTATCCTTCATGCTACGAGGCCAGAATGGGATTCAACTATGTTAATCATGTGGCTGTTGCAGTTTAGGTACAGAACAATTACTTGAAATTGGATTTAGGTGTTTAAGACTTATCAGTGGGGGACTATAGAGTTGTAGTTTTTAGTTTTCACTGATGTTGATGGGAAACTTGATTCGTAGCTGAAAATGTTTAGCAATTAGGTTCTGTATTAGTTGCAATATTCCGTGCTTCCGGTACTTCATTCTTTCCTCTTGTTGCCTGATTTCCTTGCATTGCAGCAAGGCGGAACTGTGCTGTTATTGTGAAGGCTACAGTTGATAGCTCAGAGTCTTCAACCTTGCTTAGTATTGTCAAGTCTGTGCGAAATGTTGTAAGTTTCATTCTCACAGACAAATACTTGTGTATCATGATCATGGCAGGGGGATAGTAGGTACTTTGTTCAAGAAATAACGGAATTTCTATGCTTGAATTTCATATAACTTTTATATTTTCAATTCTCCTCCTGCATTTTCCAATGCTGTCTTCTAGTTTGATTTCAGTAAAGCAAGGGAAAGTCCTCATCTTCCTCATTTCCCCCCTGATTTTGGTTTGATTTGTTTGGAACAGTGGGATAAATCTGATGAAGATAAGGTAGGTCTCATTGGTCTGGGATTTGCAGCTATAGTGGCCCTGCGGACATCGACGGATGTGATTTCGGTAATCGATCGATCCCTTTCGAGTTTCAAACCATATTTGTAGATTTTAACTATTAGAATTGTAACATTTAACTCAGACATGACTTCAAGCCTCCTTTGATATGAACAGGCTGTTGACAAATTGCCAATTATCCCAGTTGTGCTAGAAATCATTGGAATATTGTTTTCTACAGTAAGTTGCCTGAACACTAGCTTTCAACCATCCTAACATGTCACCCGAACATATTTTTTCTCCATCTCCGGAGGCTTCGATTACTAACTCATATTTTCCTTTCTCAGTGGTTTGTTTACCGGTATCTCTTGTTAAAACCAAATCGGTAAGTAGAATTCCTCGTTTAGATAATGATATTTCTTCGACGTTGAAGAAGAGAGCACCACCATAGGTGATTTAGTGAATCTTCAACAACCTAACTCTGAACCACCCCATTTTGCAGGGAAGAACTGTACCAAATCATTAACAAGACGATATCAGAAATATTTGGACAGTGAATTATGGTGCTAAAGATGTGATCGAGGAATGAGGATCAACCCTGCAATTCGAATGCAGTTTGTTGCAGTGGCGTCTAAATATGGCATCTGTTTTTATGGTGTAATCTTTAACAGTATTACTGTGATGTGTGATGCTGTTCAACTTCAAAACACCACCTAATTATAAATCACCTGAAAGTTGACCCATGGGCCTCCATTTTCCAGTGTTCAAGCATATGTTTCCATTTAGACGTTTAGTCATTTTTCTATAGAAAATCGTCAACTCTTTTAGTTGTTATTATTGGTCAGTCGTCATTTACAATAAAATTAGTCCTAAAATGTTTGTATTATACATCTCTTTCTTCTCTTTATATTGATTTTCTAAAAAATCTATTTAAAATCGACAAAAATACATATAAAGTTTCAATGTTCTAATGTTGCTATCTGGTCATTTGATGAGTTTAGTTTTGAGATATATTTTTTGATTTTTCAAAAAAATGTTTTTTACTGATTGAATTTTTGAATAAATTAAAGTTTAAGATACAAAAATACAATAAAATAATTTATATACAAATTAAACTATTAAAGTTTTAAATCCAAAAATACAAATCAAATTATTTTTAGAAAACAACGATCAAATTTAAATCAATAAAAATTAAAATTTAATGATTAATGATATAATTTATCTTATAAATAATTATTCACTTATTTTTTATTTAAAATATTATTGTTTAACAAAAATATATTCCTTAAAATTTATATCTAATTATATATTTCTCCTAATTATAAAATAAAAAACATTAAAAAGATTGAAACCTCGTTTCTATTCCAAACTCTAAAGACTTCAATCCCTATGGAAAACGACGACGTACTACCTCAGATTAGCCATTTTCATCCACCTAATGAAACAAAGAAAAAAGAAGCAAGGTAGATCGACCTCATTTCTTTCGGCTTCTTTCCTCGATCTACCGAGCTTCTCTTTCACACTATAAACTAACTCTTCTTTTATCTGAATTTCGCGCATTTTCTATCAGGTTTCGTTTCTCAGTCATGCTTCCCCCCCGATAATTTGAATCTTGCGTTATCTTTGGATTATGGATTATGTACATGTATATATAATTTTATCTCGAATCAATTTAAATGCGCATTCTTCTTAGTTCTGGTGTCTTTTTCACTTTATTTGATTTTACTTATGAGTTATGAAGATAAATTTAATTAATCGCAACATCAATTTTCGTGGTTTTTTCTTCAGATTTCCCTTTTTCTTTTATCAAGTTCAGTTTCTCAATTCTCAGCGTTCATATTCTTTTGAATGGATTGTTAATTCGTAATTTTTCATTGATATGCAGGGTTGGATATAGATCTTGTTGGGTTATGATTTAAACAAGTTGGATCATGGTATTTTTCTTTTAATCAATTTATTTGTGGCATGTCAATGTAGGGTTTTTGATGTGCTTGAATTGGTAGATTTGAGTTTCTGGGTCGAGCTGTTTTAGGTTTATATAGTTAAAAAAGGATGGCTTGGTTCAGCGGGAAGGTATCCCTTGGGGGCTTTCCTGATCTTGCGGGGGCAGTCAATAAACTGCAAGAGAGCGTGAAGAATATTGAGAAGAATTTTGATACAGCTCTTGGGTTTGAGGAGAAGACTGAATCAAGCAACAATGAAGGTACTTTTTTTTTTACATTGCTTACATTGTTAGTATTTTGTGTAATATTCAAGCATTTAGATGCAAATGTCTAGTATAAACCTATGTTAGGTTTTGCATTAAGATATACTGTTCATTTTGGTAAATAGTAAAAGATGCTGTTGTAGCTTGTATGAATCATCAGGTTACTAAACTAGAGTTGTAAAGTTTGTTAGGCAAGTGACATGTTGCAAGTAATGCACACTGCTTAACTTCCATGTTATAGGATGCCAATTAGGTAGCCTAAGTTGTAGTTTGCCTCTACTGCCTATTGTAGTTTGAAGGTAGAAATGTGATATATATATATATATAATGAATTGTTCATATTTTCCATTCCTGAATTATCCTGTGAAGGGTTAACTTTTCTTCGGTTTTATTTTTGAAAAAAAAAATACAGCCTGTTTTTTATCTGCATCTGCTTTATTTCACATTCCGTGGAATCCAGTGAACCCTAAATTAGGTTACTTCTTTGTTTTCTTTGAAATGAAGTTATATCCATGTTACCTTATTTTGTCACATTCCTTGCATAAATAGGTCAATGCTGATCTCATGCTTAAAGAAACACTACATGCCGGTGACTTGTTTTTGAACTTTTTTTGTGTACGAAGTCCCAAAAAAGATGATGCTTCTAATGGCTTATCATTTCTAATATTTTCAAAGTTGAACAAATGTTGATTACGAGTACATGGAAGTTATAATGCAGGTTTTGAACCAGTCATACTTATGGCTTCCTGTCTGTATTCTTTCCAGCTTCAGGATTGTGGTCTTCAGACAGAAAACCACTATTTGACCCAGTTATGGCCTTTATGGGTCAGAAAAGTGAGGAGACTGAGGTCGAATCATCAGAAAAACTTGAATCTTCAGAGAGTCCACCCAAAGTTGAGGAAAAAGAAAAGGCTGAAACTGACAAGTCAGTTCATTCTCGCGTGAAAACTGCTGTTGAAGAAGATAAAGAAGCTGTCAAGGTAGGAAAAAATAATGAGCATTCAGAGGCTATGGAGAGAGCAGATATTGTGACTTCGGACCCTGGTAAAGCTGAATCTGAATCAGAATCAGAAACAATTTATGCAGAGCCTTCTGAATCTGCCTTTAATAATGTTAAGTCATCAGATTCTCCAGAAAATGAACAACAGAAAGAGATTTTAGATGTAGTACCCTCTGCAGATTATGACTCCAAGGGAGCCAAACTAGATACTGCAGAGGTAGACATAGTTGAAGTTACTGAGCCTGTGCCGTCCGAGTCAAGGGATGCTGTAGACATGCATGGAACTAATGATGAACGAAAGACACAAACAGAAGAGATTTTAGAGAAAGGTTCTCAAGTTAAATCTGAGGAATCAATTGATAGCCAAGCTGATACTGGCAATGGCCCTGATGAGCCAATGTCGTCAAGTTCAGATTCTGTTATAGTAGAGGAGACTAACAGTGCTCAAGAACTTCTGCTGTCCACTGAATCAGTTCTTGAAAATGATGAAAATGCTACAAGTGTTGAAGTGGACCGGCAGATTAATGATAATGAAACTGATGCTAAAGAAGATATACGCTTGAGTTCTGCCAGTGCCTTATCTAACTATGCGGATTCTATCCATGAATTGGAGAAGGTGAAGATGGAAATGAAAATGATGGAATCTGCATTGCAAGGTGCTGCAAGACAGGCTCAGGTACCTAACGTCTTCCATTGTTTTGCTGTGCTGTTTAGATTAGAAGTTCACTAATGTTATTCTAAGTTTTTTTCTTGGTATTCGAACACATAGATTTAAGCCTTAATATAGGCAGATTACAATAGAGATAAAATTCTAAAATGATACTAACTTAGAGTCCTACTAGGGTTTAACTAGTTTAGTCAATATCCTGTCTAATTTTCTACCTAGATAAGATCTTCAGTACAAATTAAACAATAAATAATTCTGTTACAGACTAATTAGGACACTAATTACTATTTACACATGGATACAATCTACAAGAGCATAATTCCTTCTTTTGTCTTTTTATTTGTCCTTCACATGCACATCACTTCTCCTATATGGAAAAATAACATAACATAGGCTAGATTCTTTGTGGTTCTCTATAACACCAGAAGGCTTATGTTTAATGTTCTTTATTTCTTACTTTAAGAAGTTGGGAGGGGGGTTAAGTGGTTTGTATGTTGCAAGGCAGGTTTTCTGGGATTAGAACTTAGTATCCTACAAGAACATGCTTTTACTACTAACAATAGATGGGAATCTTATACCTTTTATTTATTTGGTTATGAGCTTTACTTTCACTTCCATGTGTTTGACTTTGAGATGGTATCTTCTGCTACAGCTTTCCAAGACAAAGGGCACCATAGGGAAGAAATAATTTTATATTGTATGAAAATAGGGCTCTTTTGGGGAAATTCCTTAGAACTTTGGGGGGTTTAGGAATTCCTAACCTGGACCTATTAAGTAGGGCTCTTTTTGAAGTCTGTTTCTCACTTATTTGTGCATTGTGTTGTGGTTTGGGGCTTATGATCTAGATTTTTGCACTTTTGGAACGTTTCCTTTGTTGTTTTGGAGAGTCCGGGTGCTTTGATCTCTGTTTGGGCAGATCTAGTTCCGCGCTCGACTATTTGGACTTTCATTCCAGGGGCGGTATTGTGGTCGGTTTGGAAGTGTAGGAATGAGATTATTTTTAGAAAGGAAAGTTGGACTCAAAGCTGTTAATTTTTCTTGTAAGATATAGGATTGCAACATGGTTTGTAGCTAGATTTCCGAACTTGGTAATTCCTTTTGACTCTTTAGTGGGTGATCCAAAAGTAACAGATTCTGCTGTGTGTTCTAAGGTCAGTTCTTCCTTGGCGCGCTGGGTTCCTCCTCCTTCTGGCTTCAACAAAGTCAACGTGGATGGTGCCATTGTTAAGGGGTGGTCAAGAGGAGGTATTGGTGGTTTGCTCAGGGACAGTGACGATGTGCTGCTCTGTTCATTCTCAAAGAGTGTTGGTCTTGGGCCTCCTATCCTTGTTGAATTATTGGCTATTAAAAGGGGTCTGCTTTAATTTGTGGAGTCCGGTTTTGATTCAAGGGGGAGGCTTATTCTAGAATCGGATTGTTCCACTGCTTTGGAGTGGATAAAAAATCCGGGTTGCTGCACTCCGTTGTTCGAGTCATTGGTGAAAGATATTGCTTCTTTAGTGGTAGAACAGGATGTTATCGTTAGGCATATTTTGAGATCCGCCAATTGGGAGGCGGATGGGTTGGCTAAAGTAGGAATTGGGTGATTCCTGTGTTTTCGGGTCTGGGTGATTATGTTAGGTTCTGGGTGTTATGCTGGTTGTCTAAGTGTGGGTTTGTATGTTTTGGTCAGTTTTGGGTTGAGGTGTATTCTGGATGTTATTGTTTGTATTGTTCTGGAAGTTTATTCCGGGTGTTATCTTCTGGTCAATCTGGAAAGCTAGGAATGCTATGGTGTTTGAAGGATCTAATCGTGACAACATGTCTTTGTTCTTTACAGTTAGATTCAGACTTTCAAAATGGTTTTTAGCCAAGTTTCCTACGGTTCATATTCAAGAGGA